CAATTTAACACATGGTTAAATTAATTATTGTACGCGCGCAGTTATATACTTAATAGGTGTATAAAGAAATAGAGAGAGAGAAAACCAAAAAACTACTGAATCACACAACAGCTCTTTGCTGTTGGCTTCCAAAGAACCTCGGCTACGTATCGTCTTGCACTCTCATTACCATATTATAAAAAAGAAGAGACAACATAGTGAGGTAGGACCGTGATGGGCAATGGACCACACGGTGGGGTCAGGTAGGTCACGAGTTCTTAGGTACCCATTTCTAAAAGCGTTTTAACAAAATTAGATGATGATTTAGGTAAGCTGGAAGAAATGAGAGAAAATAAAATATTGTAAAACAAGTAAGTTTATAGGAATTGGAGAAAGGGGTGGACAAAATGACATGATGACGTTGATGTATGGAGGGAAATATGCACGGATAGGGATATGTGAAGAGATCGATTGGTTAGAGATGGTTAATCATTGTCATATTTTAAAGACCTTGATCTTCAATTAATTTTAAACAACTACTTTCTCTTTGGAAGTATTTACATAAAAAATATATTGAAGTAAGTTTGCCTTTCGAATGGCGACCGGCCAGTAGGGTATCTAGTGAACGATTACCGTTTATTTTTTTCTAATCTAACAAGTTCTGCGATACACTAGATAACATATTGTATATACACATAAATTGTGTACACAGGAAGCGAGTGAACTTCCTATTCGGACAGCAGCTGTGTTGTCGTCGTCGCCGGTGGCTTACGGTTTAGTCGAGTACTTCCGGCAAAACGAGGAAACTTGTGTTGCTGCTACATATGTAGTGTAAGGCTGTTGGTTAGTGACTGCGGTGATTAAATTTGTTTCGGAATCTACGCCATATGATTTGCTTCAAATGTCAAAAACAAAAGGGTTTACAGGGACGGAATTAATATGTAAACCTAGGCACAGGCATATATTAATATTGTATAAAAGGTGGTCGCACATTTGAATATTGCTTTTATGTGAAGTTGCATAATATGCATCGCTGTGATTCAAATTCAACCTTCATTAGCGACAAAGGAAATAATATTTCTAAAAAAAACACAAACGTGTGAAAATATCACGCGAGTAAATATTATGTTCAGTTTTAATTGATAAAAGTAAATCCGTAATTTGCACAAATATAATATGTACGTATGCCGTCAAAGCCGTTTTGTGATGATCATTATCCCAGAGCTGCAAAGAGAATACTTTATTATATTTAAATAAACCCTTAACCGCAAAAATAACCATCCACAGCGTGGATTAGCGTTATAGAGAATCATTTTCGTGGTTAAGGGCTGTTTAAATATTTAATTATTTTACAATATTATATAAGCACAATAAATTGTCGTCGCTCAAGTTTTTTCCAAAAGAAAATTTGATTTTACTCACTTTAAACGGTTTAACGCCGGTGTTAAATTACTTTTGCTTTATTCCAAATCCGCTGTACTTTTAATTCAATTCCTCCTCCGAATGAACGGTTCCAATTTAACTGTCTGTGGTCGGTCAATCGAAACGTAATGAACTCCCCGGGGGTCATCTGCTAAACCGTCCACACCAAAACTGTGTAGGTGCACCACATACCTTCCCTCCAGACAGTCTTCCCCGAGATCATACAATGGTCGTCGCATGCCTTTTATGACCTTTTTTTTTCACATTTATTCCAATGAATAACTTAGTTTTCAAACAACAAAAAAAAAAAATTCGGTCAGATAAAATGGAAAATTAATTTTCATTCATTTTCGATTCATTATTTTTCGAGCAATACAAATAAAAGGTTTGATTGCAAAAGCAACTCGGGCTAAAAAGTATTGTTCATTTCGATTACAAAAAAAAAAAAATGATTAATGTTGCACCGTTAAGTGTAATCGCGTGTATTACACAAAAAAAAAAAAAATAATAATATAATATTTCCATTGGAAAACATTTTTTTTTTTTTGCTTCAAATTTATGCAGACAACATAACCAATCAATACTCGATGTAATTAAAAAACACTTTTTCCATCTCCAAATGAAAAAACCCCAAAAATGTATTGTGAAACCTTTTTTTTTTTTTTTTTTTTTAATTAACTTTTATCATAATATTATTATATATTTTGCAGTTATACATTTCGAATGGACACAAACGTTTGGTAGTTGTTCTATTGTTGCAATGTTGTTATATATGTAAGAACGCTCGTGTCTTTGTAATATTCTTTTCAAGCCACTCACTGGACTTGTTGTCAAACTTAGTTACGCTTCCCGGACGTGATCCGCATGTCCCAACACACTTTAAGCCACAGTATTCGGATATTAATACGGTCGTTCGCTATCTGTACCCTATATTGCTCGCTTAAGTATAATGCGTTTGTCGTTCAATTCGTGGAATGCTTAATCGATAATAATAATAATTACAACCAACTCGTGTAGCGCGCGAATGGAGGATTAAACCATAAACAGAGTTAATTAAGCTTGAACGGAGACTTTGATAAATAACGCTTATCATAAACAGCTTCAATGGCTCTGAATGATGCGACGGGAGATTCTATTTATGTTTTATTTAAAAAAAAAAAAAAAAAAATGTTTTTTCTACACCCTTTAGTTTGACTTGAACGGTTAAGACAGCAATAATTCATCATTCCCAATAGCCAATATAAAAAATGTATCATCAGAGGAGTTGTTTGTACGTCAGTCTCAAACGCTGTTAACAGTTTGTATGACATATATATTAGTTCACCTAGTTTCTAAGTGCAATTATTTTTTGTTACTGTGAACCGTTTTCGGAATGATGTCGTGTCTGTGGACATTGGTCAATACATCACTAAGATATACCTGACATAACCATCAGATTTAAAAAAAAAAAATAATAATAATAATGTGAGAGCATACCTCCTGTAGTGTTGATAACGTACCCTCGTGCGCGCTTTTACCGCCATTAATAACAAGTTCGATTAGGTTTTATATATATATATATATAAGCTGACATTCATTTTTCAAACAGAATCTACTGCGGTTATAACAGCTGCCGAAACTGCAAACAAGAGTAGGGAAAACGCTGAGAGTGTTCCTGCGTGATAAATGGTCCTCCGAATGTATGCACTCGTTGGGGGAAAACACGGACTTTAAGTCAACCACACAAGACACTGCTTGAATGAATCGCTCGGTTGTGTGTGTACCACATAGCAACTCAATACAGGACACCATAGGTGACAAAATAAAAAAAAACTCCACATAGACGCTTGTGTGTATAAACACGCCGGTGGTAGTCAGACAGTTTTAGTATAGTGTCATAAAGATTATGTGCACAGGCATTTGATGATGAAACAACAGCTGTGATGATTTTCCGATGGCATTTCCATCGCGATCTCGACACGACGACAAAGGTGTACATATATTTTATTATAATATTCACCCTGCTCCATTGACATGTAAAACCATGCGGTCGTTACAGTGGATGGAAACGGTAGGGCGGATAAACAATACACATTTAGTACCGCAGTCGATGTGTGAGTGTGATTTGTGTGTATTTATCAACCGAAAACACATTACACTGTACATTTCTGGAACGAGAAAATCAAATTCATATTATTTTGGAATGTTTCTCGTCGAATCTGATCTGCCGTTAGTTTTTGTACAATATACCGGCTGTTACAGGTAGATCGGATTTCAACGGCATGACCCGCAAACGGTGGTTCATTGTGGACGGTCTTGCCGAAACCGTTTACCGTTTACGGCCTTTAATCCCGAACGACATCGACGGGGCGGAAACCTCATTGCCGTGTAGCCTGTCTACGGTGGGCGAGGGAGGCGAGCTCCATTAGCGACGCTAACGATTGGCACACCGTTTGCGGGCTGGTTTACGGTGCGATAAGGGCACCGGGTTGACTTGTACAAAACGTTATGCCGCTAAGTCGGATAGGAACCCCTAATACTAAACGTTTGTGTAAAGTCGGCTGCAACGTCAAGAACGCGAGGGAAAAAACAAATCAAACGGCCGAGCAGCGAGCTTTTGTGTGTTTCCTGAAAAAATCCACTACAATGGCGGCAACGGAGAGCTCAGAAGTCTGTAGGAATAATAATAATAATAATAATTATTAAAATTGCAACGACAGTAGTGTGTTTAATATTACGGTGGATACGATTAGGGTTGAGATATCTTGAAACAAGGCACGAAAATAAGAGGAATAGCAAACAAAATAACTGGGACTAGAAAAGGTCTGTACATCACAATCAATTTTTTTCGCATTACCTGTCTCGACTATGAGGAGGAGAGGAAGAGAGGGGAGAGACAGACAATAGCGAAATGCATCGTTCTGATTAATAGCGACTTCTGCAGAAATACTGTTATTACCCTTACGGTAAATTTGTACGTGGCGGCGTCTGATGAGAGGGCTTTCGAATGCAGTCGTTGAATAATAATAAGGAAATTATCTCCTCTGACACGGACGTCAAGTATTACACAAGTCTAACGCCGGAGCTGTTCCACGGTAAACGGCTTTAAGTGCATAAGTTTTGGCCGAGCGGTTGCCTTACTCGGCGTGAGGTGGTATCAAATAATCAAAACTTTCGCCCAAGTGGAACTGTCATTATAGCGCGTCTAACCCTCATTTTTCAACCTTATAATGCAGTGTAGCTGTAGTGTTATATAATATTACTAAGTGCTACACGATGAACTCGCCGAGAGAGTACAGTTGCCTCGGTATCCGAACGGTTGTTAAACCTATAAAGGACTGCCGATATGTTTTTAAAATGGCAAAAAAGAAAGTCCAATAAGTTAGCCAAAAATCAGTATTAAATCGTTGACATCGTTATGACAGATATATTACTAAAAAAACATAGTTTTATGTGTTTCTAATAATATTTTAAGTTCTAATTATCTTAACATTGATAAACTCATGACTTCAAACGACCACCGTACACTCTAAAATAAATGTATATATATATATATACATGTTTGTTACATTTGTATTGCTTAAAAATTACTCGAGTAGTCAAAGCAAGTAGGTACTCACTCAGATGATTGGTTGGCGTCGCCCTTCTGTCGTAGTTCTTCTTCAACAGGCTGTCCAGCACTTGCAGATGATTCATTTTTGCGCTGTGCCTGCAAATAGAACATAGTGTTATCAATCAACTTGTGGACAATTTGGTATTATCTCTATAAAGTCACACACACAGTTTGGTAGGCTGAATTTACCTAAAAAATTATTAAAACGCTAATTTGTTTAAATTATTTTTGTTTATATTTTATAATATCTATCTATAACAGTGTTTTGAACCGTTCTGCATAAATTGTTTCTTTTAATCTTTCAATTATTTATTTAAGTCGTTTTGTCAAAAAAATAAATTATTATATTAATTTTGTCCAGTTAAATTGTAGTAATATCGGCACCATTGTAAGACACTTAGAACCACACGACGTGTCGTGTAGGCAATTCAACAGCACACGAGTAAACATGTACAACGTTATGGTACCAGTTTGAAATATTTTACTTCATGCCAACGCTGTTATAGATAAGAATAATTATGACAGGTATAATGCAGCAGGTTTTACCGTCAAACAATGAGTAATAGTTATTAATTTAAAAAAAAACCACAGTACAGACTAAACCAAGCCCAGTATAAACCAGCACATTGAGGTGCAGTGTCCACAAATTAGCATCAAAGATTTTATTTGAAAATGATTCTATATAGTGATTTATTAAAGCTATACCAAATTACCCGACTTAAATATACGAGTACCTCTAAGTCAAAATTAAAAATAAATAAATATCGGCTCTTGTTTTTACAATTGAATACAAATTTTAATTCAAAGTTTTACTCGTTGTACTATTTTTAAAGCTAACTGAAATGTATACATTTTTTTAAATTAATCATTAGCTTAAAGATTACACAAATGTATACAGTTTTCGTTAGGTATTAATGAAATTCACAATACAAAAGAGAGATCGGCCGGTCAAAGGTATTGAGAAATAAAAATAAGCCTATCAGTCTAAGTACAATCTAAGGTGTAATACATGAGCAGTAAAATATTTTTAGTACTGTTCAAATAACAACATGTTTTCATATCACACTAAAAAAATATGTAAGCTTAAAAAGCTTAAGCTAAAAACAAACAAATCACTATACTACTGGTTACTTTAATAATAGAAAGTAATATATTTGTAAAGTTATATATTTTTATATGTAGCTTTAAACCCTCGCGGCCCCCCCACCCCCCATTTATACAATACAAAAGATGAAAAGGGTAGAGCACACGGGTAACATAGAAACAGATTGAAACTTCCAATAACTAAGCGTGTTTAATGGCTAAAGAATTTTCAAACTAATTTGGGATTGGGTGGGAACATACAGTTTGTGAAAATTGAGATCACATTATATAAAAACTCTATAAAAAAAAAAATTAAATTATCGATTAAACCCACTGAGATATTGAGTGACAGCACATGATAAAAAAAACCACCCTGTTAAGTTATACAAAAATTCGTGGGTAAAATTGTACTTTTTCGAAACGTCGGTGTTAAGTATGTCAAAATTCAATGCATGAAAGACGTATCATACTATAGTACACAAAAAACACCAACGTTTGTTAGTATGGTTTGGTTACTTAAGCTTTTGTATTCTTGCAAATGCGAGTACATTATTTGTTTTTTATTGTTTTGACAAAAAAAAGTTTAAAAAACTCAACAACAACAAGTACAGCTTTCAAACATTGCTAGTATCGAGTAAATAAAAACAGATTTATATTTTTATATGGGTCATTGAATGCGTCGCATTTGACACAGTTGTTCAAAATTTCGATTTTGGAATTTTTTAAATGATATTGATAATAATTCAAAAAACGCTTTTTGAGGTAAATTTCCAAAAAACACTTTTTGTTAAATGTAATATCATTATAAATATGTTACCTTGATGCGTAGAACTGTCATACTTTCCTACTGCCAATAACCGTCATAGGCGATACTAAAATATATTATTTCGCACAATAGTACTCCTGGTAAAATAAAGCGACTTTTGAATTTAAAAAAGCAGGTCACAGTATGCAAGAAAAATATACAAAGATTTCTCCGGTTTTCCATATTTACCTTCTCCGACCTAGATATTTTCCAAAAAATTGTTTTAATACTATGTCTTACGCAGAACGAAGCATTTGTGCAAATATCCAATGAATCGTAGTCTGAATAATATTTGTTTTTGTCATGGACACTTGTTTTGATTGCATATGACCTAGTATTCGAATTTAGGTTACTGGATATAAGAGTAACATTGTTGAACACAAAACATAGTACAGTCTTCTTTTGCAGTCACAGTGAATTTTTGAATTTTGACCAAACTATAATTTCAGTATATACTTACGTATTATTCAATTATGTCAACCAAAAATATAATCAACACGTTCTTTGCCATATTTTTAATATTATCTGTTGAGTATAGCATTATATAACTTTAACAAAAAGTTATTATTTAACATTTATTTACTTTTGATTTATTTTCCAGATATTGGTGAGCATTATAAATTGCGGCAAATATAGCTTAAAAGGCTTAATAAAAAGCGGTAGAAAGCAAAAAGTAAATATGATTTAAATTGTCTATTTCATATGTGAATAAAAAATAGTTTTTAGTCAAGAAGGGTTTTATTTGTAATAATAAATACAATATTTCATAGTTATAATTAATTAATAGTATTAATTGTAAAGATTCAAGTAATTTGTTTTATCTTGTATTAACCAGAGTGATGGTAAACAAATTGTGTAAGAATACTTAAAAATTAAAATAAATGTTTGGATTAGATTTAAATTATTGGTATCATAAGGAATAAATTCAGAAATTTATAAAAATATATATATTAAAACAATATTAGAAGTTTACTATCAGCTAAAAATTAACGTAGCTCTCTTGTTTTATTATATTTTTATAAAGAGTTAAATATATTTCTTATGATAAATTTAAATCTAATCCGAACATTTTTTTTTTATTAATATGTTTAAAAAGGTCAGGAATAACATGATTTTAAGACATCAAATCAAACTATTTATTTTAACAAATCAAGAAATATATTTTAAAATATTAACATCCATATTAGCAATAATTACAGTAACAACACCAAAAGATACCAGTTTTTCCACTTTATATATATTTATCTTACAACTTATCACAAATTTACAAAAATTGACATACTAACTTATGTCATCCAACAATAGGCATGTTTTACGTTTGTACAAAATACTAACTTGTCAATTTTTTTTTTACTTAAAAATAGAGCACGGCCGATTGCGATCAAAAATGCATTGAATATGTAAGTACGAGTTTGTTTTGAACAATAAATATGAATGTTACCTAACCGAATATATATTTGTTATATCAATACCGGTTATTGATATCTATTTGAATTAGATACAAATTTAAATGATTTTCAAATATTAACTTCCATATTAACATCTCAACCAATTTTTTCACTTTGTCCAATTTTAAAACAATATTAAGTTATTAAAAAAAATTGGCATATTACCTTGTGTGATTTAACAACAGACATTTTTTTCGATTGTATAAAATACTAACTAATAAAATATTGTTTAATTTTTATATTAGGGTGAAAACAGTGATCATCCACAAAACTCTAGCAATGATGTATGTATGGGTCTGTTGTGAACAATTATTATGTACCGAATATGTGTTAGTTAAAGTAAAACAACTAGTGAAATAAGAAAAAACTTAAATGATTTTCAAATAATAACCTTCGAACTAGCTACCATATTTTGATAATAAAATCGCACCCAAACATACCAAATTTCCCATTTTTTTAGTTAAGAATGGTTTTATTTTAAATTATAAACCCAATATTTCATAGTTAATAATATAACTTTAAATTATTATTAATTGTAAAAATTCAAGTAATTTGTTTTACCTAGTATTAAAAAGAGGGTGATGGTAAATAAATTGTATTAGTATACTTAAGAGTTAAAATAAATGTTTGGATTAGATTTAAATTATTGGTGTCGTAAGGTATAAATTTATCAACAATATATAATAAAACAATTTTACATATGAGCTGAAAATTAACGTAGGTCTCCGAAAATATTATAAATAATAATATTTATTTAATTATGGTCTGGAATATATTTTATAATATTTTTTGGGAGAACCATATATTACTGATAGTAAAATTCACAAATTATTTTATTATCCATATTTTTATAACGAGCTAAATGTATTCCTCATGATAAAATTAAATCTAATCCAAACATTTATTTTTGATAAGTATGTTTAAAAAGGACAGGAATAACATGATTTTCAGACATCAAATCAAATTATTTACTATGACAAATCAAAAAAATATGTTTTAAAATATTAACATCCATATTGGCAACCATAGTCGCTATAGAATAATTTATGGTGATTAAACCGCACCAAAACATACCAATTTGTCCATGTTGTATAATACTTCTTTTACAAATTATAACATATTAACAAAAAATGGCATATTAAAATCTGTCATCCAACAACAGGCATATTTTACGTTTGTACAAAATACTAACTAATCGATTTTTTTTTTTAATTTAAAAATAGAGTACGGCCAATTATTGCGATCAAAAATGCATTGAAAATGTATGTATGAGTTTGTTTTGAACAATTAATATGTACCGAATATGTATTAGTAATATCAATAACCGATGTCTATTTAAATTAGAAGAAAATCTTAAATAGTTTTCAATTTTCAAATACTTCCCTCTATGTAAACAGATTAGTGTGATCCAACGACAGGCATATTTTACGTTTGTATAAAATACTAACTAATTCAACTTTGTGTATTTTTTATATTAGGGTGAAGACCATGAGCCCCAACTACCCTTTGGATACATTGTATGTATGGTTTTGATTTGAACAATTATTATATACTGATATGTATTATTTATAGTAAATAACCAATGTCTATTGAAATTAGAAAAAACTTCAATTTTCATATAGTAACTTCTATATTAGAAACCACAGTTTGATAATAAAACCGCACCTAAACATACCAATTTTTCCATTAGCGTAATACTTATTTTTAACATTAGTAATTAAAAAAAAATCGTCATAACATCTTATGTCATCCAACAATAG